ATCGTATACAGAGCGCGACACTCCGCTTTAGTCTTCATTTGTTCTACTAACAGCGCGATACTGCGATGACATTACAATTTAAATTTCGAATAGGTTGACTTGGGACATTTTTTTCGTGGTTTTTGTATTAGACCCGTCGTCCATTTATTTGTAAGTCAATGTGGTACCTAGTCAAATATTTGAAAAAACTACCTTGATACCTAGACACATTTGTATTGTGTAGATGTAATACCACAATGTTTCGAGGACGATTTAACTAACTTATATTTTTTTTTAAATTTAGTAATTACCAATACTTTCTACTCGTAGCATGAAGAATAGTACAGTTAAAAAATTTTCATTCTTGACACTTTGGACTTTGAGTCGTCCTTATCGTGAGCATTATAGAGTCAAATTTAAATCTCTAAGAGCGCTTACACACGGCGACCTTCAACAGCAATGCAAACGCGATGCAAGCGGCTGCATCGATACAAACGCGCGATCTGCCGTCCATTAATTAAAACGCGGCTTAGTGACAAATGGCTAAATAACCATTTTAAATAGCAAAAAAAATAGAGCACAAAATTCTCCTTTAAAAACAGGTAAAATTAGTTAGCGTGTTCGAATTATCGGAACTTATCCTAACGGTGCATAGCTGAAATATCATGAAACAATTTCAGTATTCCAAAACTGGGTTACAATTTTTTAGTTAGCGGGCAGCAGCTATTGCATCGCTCTTTATAGGCGATTGCATCGATGCAATCGCGTTTTAGAAACGCGCGTTTGTGTCGCTGTTAAAAATTATATGTTCACTACTCACCATGTCAAGATTGCCACGTATTCTTTACCCTGTACAACTGCAGGATCTTACAATAAAACAACTAGTTTAAATAAAATTTTAATTCCTCAATGTAATTCATGCATTTCGTAAATAAAACCAAAAACTTTTAATAATATATAATCAAAGATGAAAACACTAATTTGTGAGAAAGTTGTTAAAGAAGAAACGAAATAACAATTTAAGTTCGAAGGTCAGTTTTTATCTAAACACGACCCTTTAAATACAGATATTATCGTTCGATATTATAAAGAACGTCGTTGATTAAAATTAATCGTAGGTAGTTTTTAACTATTTACAAAAAAAAACTTAAAAAGTCTAAAACACAATTGGCACGGAAGTCAAATTATAAATTAAAAAAAAAATCACGTCGAAAAAAAACTTAGATTCGAATTGAAATTACGATTTGTTCGATATGATCGCTTAGTACAAATTGTATTGTATATTTAGAGTATAGTGTATATAATACAAAATATGTACAGTTCGTAAATATACTGGCTTAGCTTAACTAATGAAGGCACCAGAGTGAGGTCGGTGGAGTTATAACACCTGAAACAAGAAAAAAGTTTATGGTTAGGATCCTAACTGAAAATCAGTGCTGGAACGTTTTGCGTTTTATAATGATTTAGTGACACTACACAAAGCATGTTTTATACTTAGTGTCTTTGTCTGAAATTTCTTCCATAAATTTTCAAGGGTAGCAACGCTCAGTCACAAATTCCGTACGTATTTTCGCTGCGAGAACATCCGGACTCAATGCCTCGCGTCTCTCAACTGAGTCTTGTTATTCCGAATGGAATAAACGTATGTGTGTGATATACGGAATCTGGAATCGAAGTTACGAAACGGAATTCCGACTGTATGTGGCCGGCCTTAAGAGCACGTCTAGCTTGACACTTTGCGACTTTCGATCGTTCTTATCATAAGTGACATCGAGTTAAATTTAAATCTTACGCGTCAAGCATGATGTGCTCGGCAAACTGTACCAAGCAAAAGCAACTTACATACACTTTTGAACGAAAAAGTTATTTACACAATTCGATTGAATATTTCTTGTTCTATGTTGTAATTGACATCTATTAGCATTGTAAGGAATAATGCCATTGTAACGTTCCGGTTCCCAAGATGTGCTTTTAAAGGGAACCAAAAGTCAACCACATCGAGTATTATAGTGTAGCGACAACTGTATATTATCCCCGAACTAAATAGTTCTTACACGGGAAACATAGGTGAGGTTATTATGAAATTATATCATAGATTTTACACCTGTCCTTAATTGTTTTATTACAACACTATAACTAAATAGGTCGTAGGGGAATCCCTTGTGTCTATATCATCGAGTATATAACCAGAAATAGAGACGAAATAAGGGCCATCCATCCCTGGCAACTCAACAGGCAAATGGGCCTTGTATCACTTTTAAATATCAACTCTCGTTTGCGCTGAAATCACAATTAGAAGACTGAAATAGATCGTACATTTCGTATCTATATCGGTAATTAAATATTAAATATTTGAACCGCTCAAGTTGAACCGGTCGATTTGAAGTGAAATAATTGGCGACACCCGTCAATTGTTTCGAATTCTGGCTGGGCAATCGGAGCTCAATTGTCACTGAAATGATTTGGCAGAATTGTTTTCAAACAAATTAAATGACATTTCGTCACTATTTCTGGTTACATACTCGATGGTCAGCAACAAAAATAACAAAAGAAGTGAACAAACATAAAGAATTTCTTGGCGCTTAATTATTCGGCCGTTCCTCAACCGATAATTTACAGTCAACAGCACATCAAGCCATACATTTTTGTTCGAATATCGCCTCCAGTGCAACGGAACAAGATTCAATGTTTGCTTGATGTACTGGCGTCTATATATGAAATTGGAGCCTGGCATAAAAAAACATAATTCTAGATAGTAACAAGCCCAAACTAAAACTAAATTAATTCAGGTCAAAGGTCACCTTACCCATGTTAAGTCTATGCGCAAAATATTCAATTGTAAAATAAGTCTATCAGCAAAATAGTCAATTGTAAAAGTAAAATAAGAGAAAGTGCTGTGTTTCAGTAAGGAATTAATATTACGTCTCGTACTTAGTTTGGATACTTGGCAAATAACCTACAATCGCTTGTTAGAGTGAAATATCAAGTCTCCTTCGTATGCTTATGATTCAGTAGGTTCTCTCTACACGTAGGGCGCGTGTCCACGCTAAGAAAAATCGCCGGGTCTATCCAAGAATTCTTGTCGTTTCTACACAGGAACTGTGTACATAGCTTTGGCGCCGGACAAGAAAAAAAATTTGTCTACCCCCGACGCGACGCGCTCTGCCGCTATTGCAAAGGGCGCATTGTCAGTAAACGAACGTTTATGAGCGTGGACTGATTTTGCAAAGTACCATTGTTGCACCACTAATTTCATTGCGACTAATAAAATGCATTATTTATTTATAAGTTTAGTAGAGGAATGACCCGTATTGTGGGCCAAAACCTTAGAGATTTATAAAGATAAACGACGTACTTTTGAGGCATGGAGAGAAATATTTATTATTCAAGGAAGATTTTCAAGAAATGACAAATACGGAAAAAATTGAAAAAACAATTAATTAAATTAAAAACATTAATTTTAAGTACACATTTCTTAAAATTATTATTAAGTAGATCCTTAGGTAGTATATGATTTATGCGTATTTATCTTGCCACGGTAATGCACCTACATATATAGGAGGAAAAATAATTAGTCCTACACACGTCTGCCCGAAAGCATTCGTATCCTGTACATACTCATCGTTTTTTTGTCTGCAACAGACACGACATATTTTCGTGGCTAGATCCGACGAAGTTCTTGTCATGTACAAGACCATTCTCATCTTTTCTGTAGCAGACACGTTGAATTTCTTAGCGTGTACACGCGCCGTTAAGTCCGTGCTGTTTAACGGGAGAAATAAATAGGATGGTAGTATTCACCCACGGAGATTTTGCTCTTTTGGTATTTGAATTGTTCGTAAAATAGCAGTTCTACGGCATTATTACGGTATCAATAATTGTGCTAAATATATAAAAAAAAATTAAATTACTTTTCATAATAGTAATTTTCAAAATGAGAGTTAAGGAGCACTATTCATCGACTGTTCCATCCATTTTATAGGTATTATATATGTATTTGTCTAAGTATTTATATAGTTTTAATAATTTAATGGTTTTGGTTTTTTCCTATTCATATTTTTTGTTTCGTTGTGCACGTATACCCACTATTATAATTATAGTAGTATTTAGATCTGCAGGAAGAAATTTCTGTTAGAAATACATAAGCAGTACCTTTTGTTGTAGTAAACTTACATAAATTTGCACGATTCTCGTCCTTACACGTCCGTGCTCCAAACTATCGAATTTGTACCCAACGCACAAGATGGACAATTCTGAAAAATCACATAATAATTCGTCACTACAACAAAGTATATAATTACCCACTAAATGAGCTACGATCTATAAAGATACTTACAACAATACTTTCAATAGCGTTCGCCAACTGCTCCTCCATGATTTTCACATCTCCATGATCCAAAACTTCCTGAAATTAAAAATACTATTTACAACAATCCGCTCGAACAATCAAAATATTTTGAATCGTAATAATAATTGTAATTTTTAAGTTTATTAAATATCACGATGTTTGATCACCACGATATTCAATTATTTTTGTGAAATTACTCCACTAGGTTGTTATAATTATTAATATAAAGATCGAACACTTAGAGAAATTCCTTCAACCCATTTCAATTCGAACCAACGTCTTTCAGCAAACCATGCCAGACGCTGTGCCAATTAAGCCACGGAATCGTAATAATAATTTTATAAATTCGAGATGAGTTTCAACTTTACATAAAACGATTCAATCAAATGTTAAATGGACTGATAATTCTCACCTCCTGACAGCTTTTAACTGTATCAGCCAACTCGGGAACAGCGGCACAGAGCCTAGCAGCAGCGCAAGCGCAGCTCACGCTGGCCAATCGCGTGGCTCCGTGTAGTACGCCCGCATTGCCAGCCAATCGCAGGGAAGCAAAGTCGCCGCGTGCTTCGTTTGTGTAGCCGGGCACTGAATACGTCATGGACGAGACGGCGCGTTGCCAATCCTAAAATCACAATAAATTGATTGCGATACAATCTCAAAATATCAATCACAGATTGTGTGATGATAACGCTAGATAAAATTACACTACGCCGCTGAATTACAAGTACAGCGTAAATACGGAATTGAGTCGTAAAGAAGTGGCAATATAATCAATTGTATTGTACATCGTTTACAGTTAATTAAAACGATTAACCACAACCGTTAAAATTACGACGGATATTAGCGGTTAAATTAGAGACATTTAGATATCTAATGCAGTTATCGTATTTAGTTACAAAGTATGAGTTAAAACGTATTGTTAATAGGGTCGTACTTACGTCAGTGTCAGTCTTTGCGTCAGCGTCTCCAATGGACCTAACGAGCTCCTTTGATATCGCCATTAAGAGGTAATTCGAAATTTTCGCTTTGGTTTCAGCACTCGCTTCTTTGCAATTCACCGGAGTGATTTCTTTACACAATCTCGTCAAATCATCATCAACAGTGTTGTGAATCCTTTCAAATAAATCTTCGATCAGCTGGCTCACCAGCTGACTCCTCATCGACGGACAAGAACAACCCGAGTCCGACGATATGTAACTCATGCTGTGGTGCATCCTTCCGTAATCTGTTTTCTTTGGTACCGCCGTGTAGATCGAGTAACCTTCATCGACATACTCAGTTCTATCAGGTTTTAAGTCATTGCGGGATGCGTGGTAAGTCTGTCTCATAGTTTCGCTCCTCAACTCTTCTAATTCTTCAGTTTTTATAGACAGTTCGTGACTTAGGGTCTTTATTTTCTCGTCACATTTCCTCTTGCATTGATTTAAAGCTTTTTGAGTCAAAGTTAACTGCTTTTCCAGAGATTCAACCTGAGAACACACGTCTTCTTAAAACCTCTTCTGAGCCTCTCCATGCAAATGTACACGCCACACTCCATGCAAAAACATGCGCCGATTGTGAACAAAGTTCAAAAAGTCCGGGAACCGCGTATGAAGCCAACATGCAGTGTTAGTTAAACGAAAATGAAGCTCTAAACAAGAAAAGCGTCAAGGTGCAAAGCATCTACAAACTACCAAATACTACACAAAAACACTGTACTTTATTTTGCCTTACGGACAAGCAAACTCTAATTCTAAACTAAGATTTGGGTTTACTACGGTTTAGACGGTTTTAACATTATCTCTTTGTCTACTTTGTAACTTTCTCTCCTAGTAGAGACTAGGATCGAAAGTTACATCAATAGCTTCATACGACACCTACCTCCTCCTTCAATTCACTGTTGGTCACGTCCAGCTCCTGGCATTGCTTGTAGCATCTGTTGAGCTCTTTTCTGATAGTGTCCAGATCTCCTGCAAATTTTTTCTCCGCCTTCTTAGCCGAGTCTTTGTGGGTGAGCAGCTCGCCCTCCGCCAGTCTAGCAATCTTACGCAAATGATCCAGTTCCTTCTGTAGACGAAAAATTTTATTTATTGTCTATATTGTATGTGCTTCTAATTTATTTTATTTATTAGTTAATTCAATAATACACGCGCATTTGACGAATGTCTATGTTTTAAAACTTACTTTAAATTTGTTATCAAGAGATTTTAACTCGTTTTCCATCTTCTTAGCTTCCGCGTCGGATTTCTCAAACATTTGTCTAAGCGAAACGTTTTCAACCTTGAGTACATTAGCATCCCTTTCCGCCTTCTCCAATGCGACTCGCGCTGCTGATTCTGATTCTTCTATCTCTTTGACCTTCTTCTTTATAGGATCTAATACCTTTTTCCAGTCAGATTTTTCGCATTCTAACACCTGGATCTGCGCAAAGTTAAAAACATTCTCATAGTACATGACTTTAACACTAATAATGCTGTGGTAATTTTGAATATTTTAAAATATCATTCATCATCATACGACAAACGTTTAAAAAATATGCATAATTGAGAAACTAGCTCTAAAATATGTACTGTCAGGTATAATGTAGTAACAAATTAAATTGACCTCACCTTTTTCTTCAAATGTCCCTCAGTCGCCTTAGACTCTTGAATCTTCTTCTTGTAACCACCTTCCATTTCAGCCCACATGTCGTCGGCTTGAGTAAGCATCTCCAAATACGCGGCTTCCCGTTTCTCTAACTCGGCAACTCTTTGCTTCAGTTCTTTTTCATGGGCTATGAGTACATCCAGTTTCCTTGCAGTAGCAGGGTCTACCGGCAACTGAAATTACAAACCACAAACATGACATTACAAAATCCTGTACTGTATCAAACGTAACTAAACTATAAGTGCAATCAAATTGATATAAATTGGTTAAGGACATAGAGCCCAAACATATTATGTATTTTATGGTTTAATTTTATTTTCCCAAAAATGATTGTATATAATAGAATATTATTTTGACTACATGTAAACTAAAAATAAAATTCTATACATACTGACGAGTAAAGAACTATTCACATTAGACCGTGCCCGGCGCGGGCTCGAATTGGAAATGCTGCGTACTTTTTTTTTATAAAATATAGTTGCGCATTTGACCTCCATCTCACCTGATGGAAAGTGACGATGAGGTCGACGATGGAGCATGCACACCTAAATAATGCCTATTCACTCTCAAGTTATAACGTTCAGGGAATAAGTCTGCAGGCAGGGAATTCCAATCCATAGCCGTTCGCCATATAAATGTGGAAGCGTAACGGTTCGTGCGAATCTTTGGAATATCCACAACATAAGGGTGGAACCAAAGCCTACGCCTAGTCCCCCGGTGATGAAAAGGGGAAGGCGGAATTAAATCGTGTAATTCCATCGCACACTCTCCGTGATATATCCTGTAAAATACCAATAAGCAGGCAACTTTACGGCGGTGTTCAAGGCTCTGCAGCTTCGCCTCCACTAATTCCGAGTCACCTATAAGCTTTTTGGCACGGTTTTCAATTATTATTTGGCTAGTTGATATGTCGAAAAGCCATCCCATAGGTGGCAGCAGTGCTCCATGCACGATCGGACTTGTGCTTGATACAGCTGAAGCAACTGTCCCGGTGTAAAGTAACGCCTCACCCTGGAAAGGATCCCAAGCTGCATTTTTAGCCATGGATTCAATGTATCTGCCGAAGTTCAAATTGGACGACAGGTCCATTCCAAGCAGCTGGAGACAATCGGCTATCGGTATGGATATACCACGAAAAGTCGGAGTCAGCTCAAAGGGACTCCGTTTTGTGGAGAATAGACACGCCTGCGTTTTGGTAGCGTTAAATTTGACAAGATTGGCATTGCCCCAATCGGAGACTGCCTGGAGTGTCACATCTAAACGGCTAACCATGGACTCTCGACAAGACTGGATTTCCTCTCCACTGACCCTTGCATTGGTACATTTTAAATGAAGTGATTCACATTACAACATGCTGCGTCTGTGGCACGGACTAGTGACGCCCGAGCTGCTTCCGAGCTCGTTCGAGCCTCGGATGCGACCCGGCCCACCTCGGCTCGTTGTAATGTGAACACTCTCCAGTGCGTCGTACGTGCCCCGTGTGCCACTTTAAAGAGTGACTATGTTTTTTTTTATATGGATGATGAAAAATTAATTAAGTGCGTAAGAAATTAGTGCTTTATAATATGATATAACGCTACGATCGTATATGAGCGTGAACCGCGTCCTACTGGCTGACTCAGTCTAATTTAAGATTGTGGGGCACGTACGAGACTCGGATGCCTCGAACATGGCTCGTGCCCGGCACGGTCTTATGTGAATCACCCTTTAACTAGAAAAAAATTGAAAATCCGAAAGTAGTTGAACTTTAAAGTCGTTCTAATTACCTATTTGTGTGATACATAGTCTAAGCGAAACTATTAACACGCTCCAGCCACTTACACAAAAACAATTGAGATTCCATCAAAGGAATGGTCATGGTTAAAGACTTTTAGTGTCGTTACGCACACTGGTTTTTTACGTACAAATTACTTGTTGGTAATCAAACCACTTGATTTCAACCAGGAATATTTATTAAACTAAATGATCATTATTTATAATAATAATGTATAACGAAAGTTGTATTTCTCTAAATCAGTTAGAATACGGTTGTACTAATCCAACGTTAAATAATTTATCTGACAGTGTAATACTACCCATACAAAGTGAATGGAAGAACAAGCCGTGCGTTCTGTGGTAAGCGATACGCCTGTCCATAACAGTTGTAGAGCCACTCTGACCATTAAATCGCATAGATCTGAAGGGTTCTGCCATCTCATGTGCCTAATTTCTTTTCATTACCCTTACCCTCCAAAACCGGAACGCAGTAATGCTCACATTACTACTTGGCAGCAGAAATAGGTAAAGCGGTTGTAATAGATTGGACAAAATCTTTCACAAGGAGCTAAATGAACGTAAATCAGCAGTGACTATCATTTTATTCGTCTAATTTATCACTTATCATACTCACATGTTCATTTTTCGGGTCTTTCCTTGTCACCCTCTCCAGTTCGTCAATCTTTATATCAATTTCCCCCTTCTTAGCTTCACATCCGCAAACTGTTGCTAAAACCTGCCTCTTGGCCGTTTCCAACTCATTTTGTAGTTTACAGATCTTTGCTTCAAGTGTTTTTTTGGTGTGTTCTGCTTTAGTCTCAATTTCATGCCTCTCGGCTAACAGCCTGAAAACAAAAATAAATAATCGTTATTAATACTTCAAATCTCTAACGAAGTAAATTTAGGATGAATAACCTGATAGCAAACAAAAGAACTAACACTTTGGCAAAGTTGAAAAGTGTTGATATTAAGATTTCTTAATTTAGAGATCGGGTGCTACAATTAAGAAATCAGATCTCTAGATTCTACTATCTGCTTTTCTAATTACATTTTTATTAATCGCACCACGTGTTATTAGATTTGCTTATCTATGAATACACATGAGCCAACAAGGCTGCAATAACTGGAATAGAAAACCAGCTAATCGTAATGATATCTGCATGTATTATGGTAATAAAAATTACAATAGTTCCTCTTGCACTAACCCTGCCACGCCCACGCCGTTCGCTACTATTAACTAATTTAATGTACTTTGGAAAGTAATAAACAAAAAACTAAATATGAACTTTTAACGTAATGTTTAGTGCTAGAATCTCATTCATATCTATCCAGGATCTACGAAATGCGGTTTTTCAATATTGAAATTAATTTGTTTTACTTATTTAGTCTAGTGTCATAAACTTACTTGCGTATTTGCTCCTCGACGTTTTTGTTTTTCAAGCACTCAGCTTTAGTGTTCAAGATATGCTGACTCTTTTCAGAAACATGCTTTATTTTTGCTATCGCCATCTTGGTGTCTTCACAGAGAGGACTCATACGATTCCGCAGTACTTGCTGGAAAGTGAAACATATTTATGAAAGAATTGATTCACATTTTTATCACAATTTATGAACGAGCGGTGGTAGGTAAGTCAATGTTTGTAATGTTTAAAAGCAAACATCGTAATTAAACCTGCAGGTATGAAGCCCAACCTGTATCGGGCTAACGTGTTGATCTACCTATACCCTAAACCATGATAATGATGAAAGTGATGAACGTGAACAAAAAATATTACTCTTGTTACGTTATATACAAAAATATAATTATAGCGACATCTCTAGTCAGTGATGGTAGTTGTAAAGGTCCTCTCTGAGTGAAGAAATAAATTTCTCACAGATGTCGCTACGGCAAGTCGTTGAAAACCAAAAACAAAGATTTGTAAGAAGCACTTAGAAAAATTTGTAACGTCGGCTTGGTAGGTCAATGGGTCCGCTGGTTGGTTCTTGGCTTAAATTTTTATTTACTCTCATAGCCTCGCACTAGGCAAACCCAGTATCGCGGGTTAATATAAACACACACACAGACAACCACAAATTACACCCAAGCTCAGTTTAAATTGGCAAAGCATCTGGCATGGATTACCTGAGGGTGCTGGTTCAAATCCAGCCGGATCAAATACATTTTTCTAAGTGTTCGATCTGTGTTATTAATAATTATAACATGATTCTGTTTTGAAATATTGTCAATAGAAGTTTCAATTTGACGGTTTCTTGATGTCTTTTCCTTACTTAACTAAATAAGGAAAAACATCATCAATCATCATCAATCATTACTGTAGATTCAGATTTTCTTACGCGATGAAAAAGCATTACAATGCTTATTCGTAAAGGATATTCCGAGTATTGTTCATTATTTGCGGTTTAAATGTCATAAAACGGCTGTTGGCGTAAAAATCAAATTGTTTGTCTATTCTACGTGATTTGGGTTTCCACTGATCGGCATCTCATTTACAAAATATACTACCGGAAGATTTCATTTGAAGTTATATATGGTAAATGCTCACGCTAGCTCTTTGACAAGCAATAGCGGGACGCAAGTTCCTTATGATATGTACTATAAAGCGACATTTTATTACACATTTACATGTTATAAAAATAATATAAACTACATGAAACAAATTATGTATTATGTGAAATTTTTCAACTCTCCTATTTCAGCATAAAACGTTATTGACTGATGATGAAATATCTCTTTGCAGATGTGGCTTTACTACACCAAGGGTTCGATATTTTGTAACATTAATTATTTATGTTCATTATTATCGCATTTACTTAAGAACACAGTGCTTAACCATCAAAATCTATGGAAGAATATCAGTGAGGGCAATGTGCTTCATAATCCTCTGTAGCTGAGTCATAAATCCATATAAGATGTCTCTATTATTAAGTATTATATTTTTTGTAAAATTATTTACCTTACTCGTAGGCGACAAATCCGTGCCAATAACTCTAAACACGTTCCAGGCTATTAACGCCGGCACGGCTCTCTCCAATTGGCTCAATCTTGTCATCAGCTCAGTCTGAAACAACCCGAAACAGGTGAATGGGAAATTCTTTGCTTTTTAATAATTTACATATGTGTACAACTTTAAATTTAGACATCTTATCCGGCTTATTTTCAAAACATACTACTAGTTGTTTTTATAACCAAGCTTTTCAAAAGAGTATTCAGATTGTGTAACATCGCTTGATTTAATTGCTTTTTCAATAAATTTGATAAATTTAAACATTCAAGATACCAAGATAATTTTTCATTTTGTTTCTCATTTTATATTTATTACTCCTTACCTCTCTAGCTCTCAAAGCGCATTCCCTCTTGTTCAATTGGCACATAAGCCTTTCGGCCTGAGCACGAGAACACTCCCTTTGCTCCGTCATATCTCTTAGTTGAGCTGAACAGAGCTCATAGTCCATCTCAAGCCTGGATACAAATATTGTACTGTCAGATTAATATGTCATCAATAGCTCTAACTCCAAGTTAACGTAGGTACGTAGGAGCTACTTTTTAATGCGGAACAGGTCACTAAAATTCTAAATGAATTTTCGGGAAATTGACTGGTGTAATGCACAAATGGTTTTTTTTATATATAGAGACAACGATTATTGGGAACATACGTTTTGCATATATATATGATGAATTGAAAATCTGTAATTTAGGAATTTACAACACACAAAACCTATTCAATACAAATAAAACTCATTTAATCATCATTCGTTGCTCAAGTTTTCACAATTCAAAATGAAATATGAAAAGTTACGTCGACGATAATTCTAGCAGTAGGTAACATATGTAAGGATGCAGGAGTTTTTTAGATCGTTAAAACAGTACCTACAAAAGTCGATATGCTGGAGCATATTCTAAGAAGAAGAAATAGAAGGTTTGATCATTACATTTATTACAAATTCCGCAAGACACGCCTACAAAATGAAGAATGTCAAGGTTCAGCACGTTTAGCATGACACAAAGGAGCGTCTCAGAGCAAATCATAATGTACATACGTATTGCAAGCAATATTTGTATTGATGTCGTTTGCATGAATAATAAATCCAAGTGGCAATAGAGAACAGCTATGTAAATAGTACGAAACCAGTTTCTTCATAAAACCCCAGAACCGGCAATGTATAGCGACAAAACTAACAAGGTATTTTGTGTTTGATCAAGCTATTAGATCCTAAATGCCAAAAGTCATGTGATTTCGCAGTTCATCTTTCCTTTTATAACATTGATGTAGGTTGTAACGTTTACAATGTCACCAATTTAACTTTACATTTAATATGCTAGCATTTACAATGAAAACATTGACTCTTAGAGTTTTTAACGGAATAGGTAACTTTGTGCCAATAACACATCAGCCTTCACGTGACAAATTAGCATTTAAAAGTAGCAGTATGAAGAGCATGCCCGCAGAGAATCGTTAAAGAAATAAAACACTTACTGTTGCCAATGCAATCGTGTATCGTTTTCTATCTCTTCCAATTCACAACATTCTTCTTCTAATCTTTCGTACTTGTCCTGAAGATCTACAAGTTGTGTTTCGAGTTCCTGCAAGAAAATGTTTCATTATCGTTTATGTATTCATATTAAACATCAACATTATTAAATGCGCTACGCTATTGTTCAGAACAGCTAATTAGCAATACAACGGCAGCCAAACAAAACTCAGGGTCGTATTCTAGAACTCTACTCAATGCTCAAGCCAAGACTTCAGTATGATTCAAAGCACTAGAAATCATACTCAAGTCCTTGCCATTACGGTCGTATTTCCAGTGCTTGAAATCATACTCAAGTCTGCTCAAATCCTGACTTGAGCATTGAGTTCTGGAATACGATCCTAATTATTGTGACCTCAACAAGCAACTACGTGTTTACATACCTGTATCCGATTTTCAAGCAGAAATTCTTTCTGCAATCTCTCAGCAAGTTTAGCCTCTTTCACGTCCTGCGCCGCCTCATAAATAGATATCTTTCCCTCCAAGAATTTAAGCCTCCTTTCATAATACTGCTTGTGTTTCTGTCCCAACTTCACACACTTACACTCCAGGCCATCTCCTTCCTCTTTACTACTTAGTGATCTATTTCTAACTCCTTGCTTCTCTAGTTTTTCTCTAATACTATTCAGTCGTTGAATTTCGGTATTCAGTTCACCGGTACATTCGAAACTGTCATTCACGTCAGTCTGTGTGCATTTGGACTCTGTCTCGACACCTTCGAAGATGCCGCTCTCTTGAAGTACACTGTTAGGTTTCCTCTCTTCACTGCAAAGGCTTTCTAGAGATTCACATTTGTAACCCTTCTGCTGGTAAGGGGTTACTGTTGCGATCGCCTTTTGTGTCTTTGATGGAATATCAGTTTCAGGTTTAGGTTTTATTAGATCGCTTATGTTTTTCGGTTTTGCCTAAAAATTATTAAAGTACTTAACATATATAATAACTACTGAAGTATTTCATTTTATTTGGATTTCTTATTTAATTCACACCTGCCATATTATATATTTTAATATATATAATGCTTTGACGTCTAGCAAAACATGTCAACGTGAGCAAAACGCTTGAAAAACGTAACGATCTATGGTTGTTTTTTTAAATTCTTTCCGTTATGGACTGATAGTATTTGAAAATTAAAATCGGAAGAGTTTACATACCTGATAACATTCATCTTCGCTGACGGAGCTACTCAATGCTTGCAAGTTATAAAGCAACATCAGGACTTGCTCCAGACAATTTCTGTCTTCAACAGAAGCGGCATTCAAGATCATCTGCTCGAGATGATCCTTCACTGGGTTGCTTTTCAACGAGTCACTGGTCTCCAAGTTCCTGTCCAGAATTTCTGCCAATACTTGTGCCTTTGCGAAGTCCTCTTTGAAATCATCTTGCGGGGTGTTTAGATTGCGTCTTGGATTGCAAGGGCTGCTCGGAGCGTGTGGCGACTTGTACCCTGAATCCATTCGCTTGAGTTCAGGCGATGCAGAGTTCTTTATTCGGGAGCCGGGGGACACGCAGCCCGAGTCTGAATCTGTTAGGTTGTCCCTAGCACCCTGAAAAGAAAGTAAAACGAAATTGTTTTATTCTCTATTCTATATTTTTATTTAATCTAGGAACAAACTCCTTTCGTGTGTTTGTAATACATTTTTGTTTTTTTTACCTACCTAAATAAAATTGAATACACAATTCTTTATTATACAAATACGAATATTGTATTGGAAGGATTTAAAATTTCAATTTCAAATAACGGAGTTTGTAACATTTGGACTAATTGGAAGCAATTGTTTCTCGGACGTCTATCAGCTAAGGACGCCAGTTGCGTCTTGCCTTTTTTGAACAAACAGACTAAATTTAAGATACATTGCGTAGTTATGTCTACACCTACAATGCGTAGGACGGTAATCGATTGATAAGGTCGACGTCTTTAAGGTAATTGTCGATTGTTTTTCAAGGTTTAACGTTTTTGTAACAAAATTATAACGTGTTATAGACTTCATAATATATAGCCGATGTTATGTAAGATAAAATATTCCCATGAGAAAAATGGAAGACTCCTTAGAAGTGTTGAATTACTGCAATGCGTAACTTGATCCCTTTCCGCAATTTAAGTTACTCGACTTCACTTTCTTACATCGCACTTCCCTATAAGTAGTATAATCACAGACCACATAAATTTCTTTCTTCCGTGAGTTTATTAAACTAAGTAATACCTACACTAAGTAAAACTAGGTACACTTTTTTAATATACTAAAACCGACACTGCATAACGTCAAAATTAAATAATTTTGGCAGTTTAATATACATAATAAACTGCCTCCGTGGCCGAACTGTTGCCATGCCGGACTGCCACGCAGAGGTCTCAGGTTCGATTCCCGGGTCGGGGGAAATATTTGTATGGCCTACATTTATTTCTCTCGTGAGTTATGTGTGTGTCCAGGGCACCCGAGACACAGGGTTTTCCCTACTGCGGGGCCATTTGAGTGTGTGCGTTATAAAAAAAAAGTTGTGTCATTCAAGCTTAGATGACTTGACAGGTGAAATTATAAGTCGATTTTACAATTTATTTTGTTAACCGATTTAAAAAAAGAGGAGGTTCTCAATTCGACTGCTTTTTCGTGTGTAAGTTACACGATGACTCGTGAACCGAAGATGATTTGTGAACCGATTGTTATGATTATTTTTTGTTGGATCTTTCCGGTTATATGTATATTATAATAATAATAAATTTATTTGCCATAATAATAATACAACATGCATATTGTACAGTAAGTAAGAATCAAAGAATCAGTAGATATGACCGCTGGTACTTAAAAAAGGACAACCTGTGCTATAAGTACCAGCAAACCTTCCAATGGCGTAGTAAAATTTACAATTTATTCAATTAATTTATAATCTTAATTATATAATCTGTCTGAATAATTATCT